AAAGAGTGTAATGATCTCTCTGCTTTGGAGAATGCATGCAGGATATCTCAAAGCCTGTTTCATCTGATTGTTCAAGTTCTTGTTATGGCTGGAAGGCAGGCTAGTCATTTGTCAGTAGTTGAAGTGCATTTATTAATATATCTCAAGGCACACCCTGAGTATGGTGTGACCATATGATGTGACTAGATGCCAGTCTTCTCTTTGTGACAAATGGACTAGTCATATGTATATGGATAGCATGTGAACAAGTAACAAGCACCATGATTAATAACTGAGGCAAATACTTCTGCCTGTACATTAACCAGTTTGATATGTTGGAGATGAGATGGATGTGTTGGAAAGCATGGAAGTACCTAATCAAGTATTTGTGTAATAAGAATACCCCCACCTGCCATGCTGTGGATGTATCTTATCATGAAGGCTTATTGCATACTTCTCTGTGGGAGCACCCACTCTTGTTTGAGCACTTTCCAGATGCTTAAGAATGATGATTTCTCCTCCAGGCATTTAACAATTTAGAGAGTAGCAAATACTGTCTAGGTGGAGGAAAAAGAATAATAACCAATTTTCATTCATTGTATGTGGAAGTTAGTTCACGCAGTGTAGTGTGGTGTAAATAGATCTTTGATGCCAGAATAGGTACTTCATTCCCTGGACAAAAAGAAAAACACCAAACTGCCTGGATGAGCATCTAACAAACAAATAGATAGGGCCCAGGAACAGAGACAATACAGAGCCTGAGAAAAGAGGAAAAAATAGAATGGGGAAAAGTTTGAAACTGGAGACAAGAAGCTTAAATCCGATATCAACAAAATCAAGGAACAAGAATTACAAAATAAAACCAAAACACAAGGAAAACAGGCTTATAGCAGTATTTTTAATGTTTAAAGGAGTCTTCATGTGAGACATTATGACCTGGATGTTAGTATCACTGCTGCAGTTGGCAAGGCAGTTAATATACCATCATTGTTTATTCTCTAATTGTTTCCTGTACTGGAAAGATGCCAGTAGCTGTTAGGGAGGTTCCTCCTTTTCTGTGTGGCTATGTTCTGTCTGCTTAGCTTAGCATCTACTGGGTTTAGAATTTTATGCCAAACATTTCACAAGGGGAAAAAGCTAAATTAAAACAAGAAAAGCACAGTCGTATAGTGGAATGATCCCCATCAGTCCTGCTTATATCAAAAAAGCTCATGGTAAACAAGACATAAATCATGTTAATGAGTTGTGTGGTCAGTTATGATCACATTTGCAATCAGAAGTTTAAGTAGATTTTATGCTATAAAACATTGGGCTAGGTTAATCTTAATTAATTCTCAGTCCTTTAAAAATGGTATGTTCTCAAGATATTCCTGACTTTATGAAGTTCAGCAAAATTTTTTCTTTTAATGTATGTGACTCTCTTCTGAATTCCCTACAGTTTATTTAGATCTGACTGGGAGTGTTGAGTATTCAGATTAATATTCGCAGTATTCCTAGAACTACGCTATTCCTGCCTGAGGATACAGGGACTCTTTGAATGCAGCTTTAAATATCATTAAACTGTTTTCTAAACTATTATAGATTGGACTGCTGTCAGATTTGCAGTCTCTCTTCCTCTTTAGTCTCTTGTTCATTCTTGTTTTGCAGCTTTCTCCCTCAGATTGTTTTCCCACTAAATTAGCTAACTGCCATTTTTCCTGGTTGAGTCTTGTGATACTGATGAGTCAAAGTCTCAGTCTAAGTAAAGCAGAACAACTGTTCTGAAAGCAGTAGTTTGTGATGATTTATACCAGCTGAAATTTTGTCCCCATGTTTCTTATCCTGTCACTATTATTAGAATTATGGTAACGCCCAGATGTATTAAGTATCTTTCCAATACAATGGTATGGCCCAATCCTTGCCCTAGAGAGCTCCCTGTACAAGAGGGGGACAAAAGAGAAGGCATCCAGTCACCTTACTAAAGTATATTTTAGTCTCGTTCTGAAGAATTTACCAAGGAACACATGCTTCAGGACAATCTGTGCATACCACAGATTTCCTCTTCTTTAAATTTCTTGATGACCCCAAAATGCTCCTATTACTGCAGTTTAACACTATGACAGTTAATGATACATTTTGAACCTGTTCTTTATCTCCACTTTGTGAATTTTCAACTCAACTGATTGTTGCATCCAAGCTGTTTTAACTAAATGCATTCATGTGTGTTCAGAAGAATCTCTGCTAAACAATTTACATGACTCCAACGGTCTTCCAAGCCTTTAATTCTCTGTATTTTTGCAATTGCAGTTGCTTGTCTAAAAATGGCGGGGTTTATTTCGTTGGGTTTGGGTTTTTTCTTTTTTTTAACTTAAATCCTCATCATTGTTTATTGCCTGTAAACATCTCAGTTTACAGCACCTAGAGATTTGGAACTAGCTGCACAGATCCTCATGCAATACATGTGTATGTTCATCTGTCTGTTCACATACGCTGCTCAGTCTCTCATCGTTTTCAGACTTGCTGATCAATTTAAACTGAATTACTATGGGATAGAAATCTCAAAGCTATGTTTCATATAAATTTCATGAAAATAAAGAGCTATATATCTGTAAGGGGGATTCGGCTACTGTTCCCATTGAGGCAAAGGCTGCAGCATGAGGCCAGTCCTAATTAGACAGCAGAAAATCAACACAAAAACGCCCCAAACCCATGAACAGAGGCATAATTTGGGGCATGCTTTGTATTAGATACTGTAAGATTCAGCTCCAAGACAGATTCACAGGAAATGAGCTTCATTACCTCCTCTGGTCACAGAATGAACATGTTTTTGCTTGCAACATTTGTTCCATTACTGTGGAAGGGATGGGTGTTAGATACAGGGACAGTAAGTGCCAGGAACATTCTTTCTATTTTTTAAGATCATTAATATATCTGCTTTTCTTCAAAGTACAACAGTACCTCCCTGGTTTTAATCATGAGCAGCCTAAGCTCAGCTGCTACTGGCTAATACGCTTAGATGTGCATCATCCTTACTGATAAGCTGTACATGTTGAGATTTTCTAATTAAAACCTATTATTTTTGCATGGATAACGCTTTGTGTATGGTGTTCATGCGTAGATGTGGAAGTAAGGAGAGGGGTGATCTAATGAAGCAAATATGGGATTGGGAGTCAGGATCTTCTCTGAGCTCTTAACCTAGCTTTTCATATTGCTTCAGTCTGTGGCTTCAGGTAAATCACTTCCTCTGTCAGTGCTAACATTCTTTATGTGCAAGACAGGGTTAATGCTATCCTACCTCCCAGAGAATTATGCAAGAGAATTAACTCTCTAATACTTTACATGATTTTTAGCTAAAAAGTCTCATAGTGTTCTAAGTGTTTTTCAGATTTGTAGCCCTAAGAACTTGTCAGGGAAGCAAATGTCTCCTCGACACTGAGTTAAATCTGCCAGACTGGTAGCACGATTCAAAGTTTGTTTTTTTTGTTTTTTTTTTTACTTGCAGCAGCAAAAGTTGTAGGGTGCTACCTGCTTCAAGACTGCCTCTGTCAGGGTTTGTCTAGGCTTCTGCTCTCCCTAGACCCTGAACCTTCAGAATCCTGAGTGATGAGGTCTGTCTCCTACTTTTTGGATGTGCTAAAATCTCTTCCCAGCCCTTCCTTTGTGTGGTCAGGCTCTGTTCTCCCAGCTGCCCTCTTTATTTGCACAGTAGCTTCTCCTGGTTTCCTGTCCTGTCCCCATGGGGTTCACAGCAGGGCAGTACGCTTTGTAGCTGAATCCAGAAGCCATGGTCTGTGTCAGCTTCCAGTCTCCCCATCTTTGCCTGGAAAGCAGCCAAAATCTCAGCACAGCATGGAAACAAAGGCCTTTTTGGAAGACTGTTACCCCCAAGAAAAACATCCATGACCTTTCTTTAGGCAGGTCTCAGCCCAGCTTTTGCTGATCAGACATTGTTAGAGCATCCGTGCTTGTTGTTTCTTCAGAGTCATGGACCTCTTTGCCAATGCATGTTAACACAGGGAAGGGGTTAAGACTGTATGCTTTGTGGACTCCAGGATCCTAGCGGTTTTAATAACAAAAGGAACTTACAGGAAATATGCATAATATCAAACAGAGCACAATGAAATGTCACCCTGAATAAGAAGGGGGTGCAGTGACTTGGTGGTCTCCATCCCAACCCCATGATGTGTCAGACTCAGATGCAAGAGACTAAACCAAGTTCCATTTTAGTTTGTTTTGCTGGGGGGAGTTGGGGTGTGACTGCTATTTTCCAGACTTCTGCACTTGTACCAGCTACTTATTCAAAATCTGAAAGCTGCAATCAAGGTAGAACTTCAGGGAAGGGAGAGGTTAAGAAGGATTGGGAGCTCAAGGGCATCTCGTCAGTGAGGTCTAGTTAGGAAACAGGCCTGTTTTGGCTCCTGCACTTCCTTTTCTCCCTAGAGCTCTGCCTGTCAGAAACGCCTTCCCACACACCACTGCCCTGCCATTTGCCAGAGAATTGCGGGGGAGAGGGGCTTTTCCTGTCTGTGTGCTGAGACTCAGCCAGCCCTCAGACTGTGGTTTGCTCTGGAGCCTGGAGCCCACTCACTCTGGCTTTGTGTGTTTTTCACCAGAGGAGAAACTGAGGACAAACGCAGCGAAGGGCACTGCTCCCAGGGTCACGCTGAGGTGACTGGCGAGTGCTCAGCTATTCCCCTCATCTCCTATCCCTGACCTCTAGTTGCCAAACTACGTGGTTATGGTATTGCCTCTTTGCCCTGGGAATCTGACTGATTTCGAGGAAAGACAAGGCAGAACTCCCAGCAGGTTGCTCCTCTCTGAAGAGCTGAGCAGTTTGCACAGCTCCCGTAGGGAACCGTTCCCTACTCCCTGTTTTGCCAGTCCACTGCTCAGTTCTCCACTGTCTCATGACATGCAGGTTCTTTTGCTCCCTGTGACAAATCTCCAACATACTTACTCTCCCCCCTGCTATAGGAATAGAAATATTTTCTGTTCCCTGGTATTACTGGGGATTTCCTTTTTGTCAGCTGCTGACCTAAAGTCCCTTTTTCAGAGAAGGTACCCTAGAGCCTTTTTGTTATTCCAAGCACCTACAGGGTTAGATTGAAGAACTGGCATTGTAACATCTTCCTCATAATCTTTTTCTTTCCTAGAACTGTCTCAATCCCACCTCCCACACAAAGAATAATTTAGCAAGAGAAATGCAGGAAGTCAGTTGAAGCAATAAAAGATTTACTTCTTTGTGGATGGGAGCCTGCTGCAAGATTAGATTGAGGATAGGACCTCTTGGGTTTCAACCCAGAATAGTATCATTCTGTGGCAGTAATGAGCTTGTCTGCCTTCGTAGAAGTTAGTCCCAGCTTCCAAGGGTGTAAAATTCAGCTCTAAAACCTACTTCACTGACTTGACCACTTAACTCTTCTTTTTGTGCATGGGACTGTCACTGGAGCCCTAGGGTTGCCTTCACAAGGCAGATATTATCCCTCACAAAAATGTCACCCACCTCCATCAGCACTCTCAGCAATATTCAGAGAGGTAATCATCAATTACTATGGTATTTTTGTTTTCTTTTTTTTTTTTAACCAGGCTCTCTTTGCCAACTACTCACAATCCAGCACCAGCCATATATCTATGCCAGCTGGCTCTGATGCCCGCAAGACATCAAGTGCCACTTCTAGTATCCAGAAGGCAGCCAGTTTGCACAAAGTGATGCCGTTGCAGAGTACGCCTTCTCATCTGGTCCCAAAGCCTCCAGCAAACAACAGGCAGGCAGTGGTCAGAAAGGCTGCAGCCCAGAGGATTTCCAAGTAAGTTTGATCTCTTCCCATCCACAACAGGGAATTGGCTCTGGTTCCCCCGAGAAGGAATATTGGAGAAGAACCTGTCTACATGTGATTCTGACATAGATCTTCTTGGCTATGCTGTCCAAGATAAATCTCAGAGTAACCTGAGCTGTGTGTACTGAAATAGGTGTGCACTATGTTGCAGTTTCATGTTTCACAATGGAAAGGTAAGACTGTAACGTCATACAAACATAAGGATATAGGAACTGCCAGATAGAATCAGAGAAGTATTTGATACAGGGTGGGATTCAGCTACCTAAATACAGATTGCTAGTGACATTTTAGATGCCCAGGGCTATTCCAGGTGACCTCCAGCTGTTGCTCCAGATGAGCACAAGTCTTCTGTAGATCTCGTGTTATTTCTGCTAGTCCCATGCAGATGCCTTAAATAACTTGAGAGTACCAAGTATGGTACCAGACATACATGTTTAGGCACTTGAGTCATTTCCTCCATGCTTAATCTTTTGGAGCTAGAATCTGGTGGGTCAGAAGAGGTTGCCAACCCCCCTCCCCAAAAAAACCCCCACTCAATATCCTTAACAAGCTCATCTGCCCTTGGGCCAAGTTTCCCTATAAATTTAACACACAGTGATTGACTTAACGCCTTCAAGCACAAGTGTTTATTTAATTTAAAGTGTTTATATTGTGCCTAGTGTAACAATATCTTTCCTCATTATCTGTAGAAATCCTTCTTTTAACTTTTACTAAGCTTTTAGTTACATAATACTTTCCATTCTAAGGTAGATGTATTTGGCATGTGTTATCTTTAAATACAAAAAAAAAAAAAAACAAACCGAAAAATCACCATTAAATGCTGCTTACTGATTGTAAGTTTCCTTCCTTTCCATTTCTTGGTGTGTCTTCTCTTTTGTGCATTATGAGAGAATGTGAGCAAGACTTCTGGGTTTTATTCTTATGCTTTACCTTTCTTGGTAGCTTCCTCAGCTCTCTGTTTATCTCCTCTTAAATGGTAGAACTGCTTTAGACTTAATCCTTCATTGGGTTTTTCCTCATATATCCTCAAACTTGTTTCATCCTTGAATACTGAAGGGCAAAAATTGCATTCACAGCTTCCTCCCTTATACTTACGCTACAGCCACAAGAGTTGTAAAGCTTTCAGAGCAGGTTCCTGTGAGATTTCCTGATTCTTTGTTTGCTTCCTGTTCAAAAAGAGAAGTTTTCTAAAAGATTACTGATGAAAGACACCTTATGAAGATGCTAGGGCACTCAGTGTGTGTGGATCAAATCTGGAACTGCAAGGCATATTTAAGGAGCTTGGAGAGAACTGCTTCGGGGAAGCTTGTGTATTTCCTGCCTGTACTCTTGCTATCTTAAGAGATAGCACACTGAATTAATCCCCCAAAACTATTTAAAAAGAAAACAAGTTGCTAGTAGACTGTCAACTCAGCAAACGCAGATGTGAATATCAGGTCTGGCAGGTATATGCTAGTGGGTTTACTATCTGATTTCTTTTATGTTGGGTAGCTTATGTTAGTGCAGGTGACAAGCTATGTCAGTGGGTTTTTCTGCTGGGCAGCAAGGATGTGTATTTGAAGATGCCGGTGTGCTGTGCTCACTTCTTGGCAGAGGAAATGTTTATCCTTGTGAGATGGAATTGCAGCTCCTTGGACAGACTTTACTTTGCTGCATTTTTGTGGTTTCTGCTCTGTGACAGGCAGGAGTGTGGGAAAACCGGAAAAAGTTCAGCACCAAAAATGCACAGAAGGGGGAAAAAAAGCATAAGATTCCTTCAGAATTTCAGAAAACTAATACAAGTATTGAAGGCTGCAAGGAGCCACTCCGGAAATACTTTCCAAGTTGCCTTTCAGTCTCCAGCACGAGGCTCCAAACCCGTTCTTGCCATTCATGGGATCTTGCAGTAACATTTTTTCACTTACATGGAAAACAGCAGTGCCCAGCTATATTTCCAGCATAGTGAGAGCTGGTTGTTTAAAAACTGCTATGTCTCAGTCTAATTTAATCCATTCATTGTTGTCAGGAAAAGACCAGAGGTGAGTCGACAGAGGAGAGTGAATGGAGAGAAGCCTCTGTGTCAAAAGAATATAGATCAGAGGAAAAAAAAGATGTCTTGCATGCTCCAGCCTGTTCTTTACAGTCCTTGGTTATTCAGTACAAAAGTATTCTCAGACACTGTGTGTAGTCTGCTTTCAAAAAACTCCAGTGGCGCAAACCCCACCATGTGCTATAGAAGACTATTTAAGAATCTAGACAACCTTATTACCAGAAAGTTTCTCCTCACGTGCAATCTGAATTTTTCCTTTGTTTCACCCTGTTGTACCTTGTTCCTCCTTCCTGAACCATCCCTAAACACTTTCCCTTGCAAATATTTTCTATCTTTTGAATATCCTTCTGCTACTTGGAGTTTCCTAATGTTGCTTAGACTTGTTGAGGTTTTGTTAACTTCAGATAGTAGTTCGACCTGCCAAGTCCTTAATTGTTTTGAATTTACTGTATTTTCTTCAGATTGTCAGGGTGCTTGCATTGTGTCACCCAGAACTGTACTTTTCCAATGTGGGACTACTATATCCTTAGGTTATGACATGGCAAATATCCCTCTCCGTAACATCTAATCTAATTCTGACTTTTTGGCTGCTTCATTTCTCTGTCAGGGCATTTTTCATTTGCTAGCCACTCTCGCCCTCTAATACTTGGTGGCTGTTTTCCTGATCTCTTTCCTCAAAGATGATCTTGGTGCTATATGTTATTTCCACAAGACTCACTGAAACTAACCCCATTCTGTTGTTAAAGCTCTTGTGTCTCTTTTTTTTTTTTTTTTCCTCCTCATATATTTCAGTAAGCCAGACCTTATTTCTGTCTGCTCTTGCACCACCTGGCTTTTGTTTAGCATTTTAATAAAGATCATCTTTTTAAAGTTGTTTGTAGAATTTCTGCAGAGACTGGACTGTGAAGACAAATTAAAATCAACTTTGTCTCTTTGACCTGTCTCTCCCTTGCATGCTTTATCAATTCTCTTCCAGCCAGCACACATGGCTTCCAGAAGAGGAAGAAAAGAGTAAGAAGTAGAAAACTTGACTACAAACAGAATGAGATGCGAAAGATGAACATTACTGACTAATTCAAAAGCTATCTAGTAACTTGGAGACTTCCCTGGTTAAAACATAAAGGAAAAAAAATTAATGGAACAGCCAGACAATTCAGTCTTGTCTTTTCAGTTCCTGGCCTCTCTTGTTTTCTCAGTCTCTTAACTTGTAAAAGGTGGTAGGTTGACTTTATAATGGATTGTGTCCAAAGCAGACTCCTTGCTGAAGCTAACAGGGTGGAAAACCGGGGCCCATATTAAGGTGTGGAAAAAGACTAACTGGTAGAAATGGTTTAATATGTAGCTCTACTCTGAAATGTAGCCCCATAAAATGGTCTCGTGGGGATCCATAGTTTTGATTAAATATGCTCGTATCACAAGTAGAAAGTTTTGAACAGCTAACTCAACAAGCTCTTCTTTCCAAGAGTCAGACTGCATCCTTTCCACTGCTCTCATTGCCACTACTATTGGCAGGTCCGTGAACCGTGAAGAGACCTGCTGATAGCTGAGAGCAATGTTTTAAGACAGAGATTGCAGATACAGTATTCGTAAGCGGTGGAATGAAGCAGATGTCCCTGGAAGCAGCATTTGGTGTAGTGAATCTTCACGTTACAGATGACAGCATGGAAAGTAGAAAAATGTATTAGCTCAACTGTCAGAACCCAGAGTGAACTGGTACTGGTGGTAGACAGAAAATCTTTCTGCTTTCAGGAATGATTAAGTCACAATAAATACAAATTTCTGCACTATCATTCCTATAGTAACTTTTCAGAAACCTGCTCTCTAACTATGACAGCATCAAGTAGAGCAAGGCCTTGAACAGCCTGTGAACAGAACTATCAGTCAAAGAAAAGATCTCACAAAAATCCAGCTGTCAATGTTAGACCACTGTGTATAAAGAGGAGGAAATGCCAGGTAGAGAAAAGGAGCATATAGTTAAAGATGTTACCAGGGAGAGAGCGAGCCCCAGGAGATCACAGAGTTTACCAGCAATAGACTGGAACATCACAAGCTATTGGGGATGTTGATCAACATGGCATAATTTCTTGTACTGAACTTCTTTGTAAATGTCCTTCCCAGCAACTCTATTCAGGAAGCCTTTTGAAACAAATATTCCCTTCAAGTCCAAACACCACAGCACAAAATCTTTCTACCTTGTTCTTCTTTTGTATATTTGCTTTGCACGGTGCCAGCAGCAGAGCAGCCAAAACTCTGCTCTATTGTAACTAGTACAGAAATACGGTAGAGGTGATGCATTTCTCCAGGGTTCAGGAAATCCGTCCCATGGCAGGGTGGAGTCCTGACTGCAGTTGAATATGGCAGTAGCCAGCTAGGCCAGGCTGGTCAAGCCTGGCAAGTGTGCCAAAAGTAGAATGATGGCCACAGAGCGAGCCCTGTAAAATGCTATGGTTCTGGTTTGTATCCTGTCTTGCCCATGTGTGCTTATTCATAGGCATGTGTGAAGTGTCTTAAATGAGCCGAGTACGTCACACATACAGACTGAGTGCACACTGAAAAGAGGACAGGCAGCAGGAGAGCAAGCGTGTAACTGTTACTGGAACCCCTTTTACTTTTTTGCTACTGCTGTACTGCAGCATGCTTGTTTTTTTTAGCTCCTGAGCATCTGGGTTAATCAGGCTGCCTGACCCTTAGACATTTTTGGCAGCAAAAGCAGTGCATCTGAGAGACATGCCTTGATTTAACACCCTGACACAGCTGGGCTCACTAGGCCTGTAGCTCTTAGCCCTTGGCTAGCCTCAGATCATACACACAGATACATATGTGGAGGTACCCTGTCCAAGAGCAACAAAGAGCAGCAAGCCTCCCTGGCTCTGGGTCTTCACATCTGTTGCTGTCCTCTTGTCAAACGTGGGCTTTTTGTGATCTGAATTTGTTAGTGTCAGTTTTGTCCCCCCTGGACTGTTAGATGCATTCATAGCATCCCAAGAATAGGTTGTTAAAACAAAGCTGTTCAAAATTTAGTCAAAGTATTTCTTTGTCACATGTGGAACAAGAGCATCCTCCAAATTTGCAGTCCCAGGCTGGGAAGCTTAGGGCTGCTTTACTGCCTAAATTAAGGAAGTCAGTATAAGTTTCAAGGAGGGGTTGGCTGTATAATAGATAAAAAAGGGCAATGAGTGGAGAGGACAGTGTTTTTGTTAGTACTGAGGAAGAAGAAATGGAGAACATAACAATGGATTGCACTGGAGAAGTGGAAGCAAAAACAACACAGACATTAAAAGCAGGAAACTGAGAAAGGTGGTAGAATTTCAGCCAACCCAAGGAGGAAGAAAGTGGAAAGGGATTAACTCAGTTTAAGCAGTGAGTATGTTCTGGCACTGGAGCTTCCATGAGGACAGCAGAGAGAACTTGAGGGGTGAGCATAGTGTGGTGGGAGATCAGTGGCCCAGAGGCAAATTTGAGAACAAGCTGCATGGAGGTGACAGTTGAAACTTCAAGAATCAAGGTACACTGTGGGTAGGCAGAAAAGAGCGAATCTGTAAAGAGAAAGAGATTCTCTAAACGTGAACTGCGCTTCAAGGTAGAAGTGTCACTGTTCCCTCTTTTGGCTTTTGTTGTTGTTGTATTTGCTGGCATTCTTGATGACATTTTCAACCACTAGTTTTGCATTCTATCTATGGAAGGGTGAGCTGAATTAGGCTGTCAGTTGTGCTGGGTTAACAAAGCGGACAAGCTAATTATGAGCACTGAATCTCTATGTAAAAAGCATAAAGATCCATCTGGATTCTCAGCTCCCAGAAGAACTGTGCAGTACCAGCAGCAAAAGAAACAATAATTACAGATCCAAAACTCTTTCCAAGAGACAATAAATACGGAAACAGGCACCTCATTTGACAGTAGCATTTCAAGTTATGGTTGACTGAAGTGTAAGGGATTGTGTTTTGCATATGTCATATCTACATCCCTCTCCCTCCCTCTATGGACTCCAATTTATTTCACTAAAATCCAGCTGAGATAAAATACAGGAGTCCCTCACTGGCCTTTTAGCTGCCAGGAGCACCTGGATTAGTGGCAACTTGCTGACTTTGAAATCTGAAAGCAAAAGGTTTCAGACAAAACTATAGAAACCGCACACGTGTACCTGGGTCTGTTAGTCATCAGGGCATCACATGGGGATTGGAGATTACAGTGCTCTTCTGGGGAAGAGATCACAGTAACTGTGTAACACTGCAGAGCTGAGTAAGTGAAGGAGGACTCTGGCAGAGAGACAGGAGTGTACACGCAGAAGTCTGGAGTGATCAGAATAGAGTTGGGTAGGATGGAAGAAAGGCAAGGGAGGGATAAAGGAGGAGAGGACAAACCAGGAACAGATGGACCAATTGCATAGATTTTAAGGACAGAATAGATCATAACAGCTGTATAGCTTGACCTCGCCTTGTGAGTAGACCCATTTTTCTATGTAGGAGGGCACAGTCTCAGTTTGGTAACGAATCTTTGTAACAGTTAAAGCTCTGTAGTTGTACTCTGCAGAATATAGCTTTACTGTAGCTCCAGTGCTGAGATAAATGCAAGAGGAATTGTATAAAGTATCTGCTTGAGGACTGGCACTGGACTACTGGAGTTTAAATGCGTCCTGTGGGTCTCGGTTTCCAAGACAAGTGAGAAATCTTGCCTCAATGAGCTGTCTCTGCTGAGACAAGATGCAAGGACTTAGCTTTTGAATGCAACACGTTTTTGCCAGCATGTGCATTTCTGTTCTAAGGTTGCTTAATCATTTTACTTCAAATCACTGCAGTAAGGTTACTACAGTATTACTAGTTCAGTTGTGCTTTGATGGTCCAATACCACTTACTATCTCCTTTATCCTCCACAATCAGCTTCCAAAGGCTGTGGGACAATTAAGTGTTTTAGGCACATCAAAGTCTTGCTGGTGGCTTGAATGTCCTTCTCTCTTGCTCTGCCTTTTTGGAGTCGGTTGCTGTCACTGCCTTTTTTGTACCATGTTCAGGCACAGCTTCGTAGCTACAATCCCAGTGAGATCATATAAAGTAGGAGAATTCTCAAACTTTTGTTCGAGACTCTTATTCTTCCTTCGTATATCCCTTCTTATCTCTGTCTAATTTGATCCTTTTACCTGTTAGGGTGACCTCCGCTGAAAGGCAACTGAATGGGTTCCAGAACAGCCTTCACAGTGCTGCATCCTGTGAGCCAGGGACAAATTCCACAGGTGAGTGCCAGTGCAGAAGACCAGGAAAGTCGGGGTGGGCATGCCGAGATGCTTTCATCTTTCTCAAGAACTGGCAGGAAAAAAATTTTCTCAGCAAGAAGAAGAAACACAGCTGCCTACCCTGCATGGAGTGGTTCCTAGGTAACAGTCTGGGTTCAGCTGTGCAGGGAATTTATTCCTCCTGGGATTAAAAAGACTAAACAGAAGGGAGCAAAGGCTGAGTTTCATAAAGTTGGAAGAGGAAGATCCCTAAAAATGTGGCTGGGAAAAAAAAAAAACAACTTGGCTAAAATGGCTCCCCTTTGCTTTAGGCTTTGGCTGAAAGATGCTCTGTTGTTTAAGCTTGGCCTGTAATAAAGGGCCAGGACATTCTTTACATTTTTCTTCGGTCTGTCAGAAAAGCCCCTTAGTTCAGGAAGACATAGTTGAAACTTGTGAATCAGCTGCATAGTGAAGTCAATCAGTAGAGGTAAAAGCTCCCAAAGGAAAATCACTGAGACTTACAGAATCAAATCTTTATCATTCCCTAGTGGCTAATTAATTAAAACAGGTTTATCTGCTGTTGAGGTCTCAGTAAATGAGGACCCAATCCATTTCTCATTGACGCAAACCTATGAGCAGGTAGAATGTAGTCTTGATGAACCCATATTACCTATGGCTCGCAGTAATTTGTGATGGTGCTGTAATGGAATATCTGAACAAATTATCGTCTAGAATGCTTTTAAAAATTACGTTTATCACTTTTTTTTTGCTGTGAAAACCCTGAAAATGTGACTTGAGTATCACTAATGCAGTGATCTGTGTTTTCACAGGCTGAAAGAGAAGTTTGCACAGGGGTGAACTACCTAATTAATCTCTTGGATATTTAGCTATGAAACTTAAAGATGACATTTCCATTATTAATGTCAGTGATTTTATTGCTGATCCTCTAGCACAAACATTCAGCTAATGCACTTATCATACAGTTCCAAACTGCCTCCCACGCTTTACCACTTGCCAAAAACTCCAGTTATCCTACCAGAGATTTTATAGGGTGAATAGCCATAGTCAATAAAAAAAAAGACCTTACAGCACATTGGAATGTGACAGTGTAGGAATGGAATATAATGGGATTATCAAAATAAATAAAATTATGTCAACACATATACATGTATAGTTGAGGCAAAACTTCTGGTCTACTGTATAGTTCGCATTGAGTTTTTAGTACAGTATATAAGGCAAGGTTACACATAAATTTACAAGTAAATGTAAAAATAGAATTCTCAATATATTGACCGAACTGGTTTGCACACAATAAGGTGTTTGTGTGCTGAATTCTACCGCCTTTTTCACAGTTTTAAGAGCACTGTCACGGTTACCACCCTGTAATTTTAACCTCTGCAAAACATTCTTTCCATCTCCTCTGGGTACTGTCGTTGTTACGTGTGTCCGTGATCTGTAGGTAGCATTTTTCTGCCCTTCCCTGTTTCCTGTGAATGTTTATGCAGAGCATGCGTGAGCATTGTTGATAATATTAATGATGGAAGGCAACAGCCCAAGCTGCAGGAAGAATATAGGCTAGATAATAACTACAAAGTTCAGGGTAGTCACCCTCTCCGGGAATACTTGTAACCCAATGAGAACTGAGAACTTCAGCTCATGTTTCCTTCTGTAGGACTAGGTTAGCTGTGCTGTACTAAACTTATCCTCTCTGAAGCTGAAACACAAAGTTTACCCTGCCATTTAGCTAAGAGCGTGAGGGCTTAGATAGAACCCTAGTTTGGCTAGGGGTAAGCTAGCAGAACCGTGGTGGGTGGGTTACTCAAAGCTTCCTTGTTGTTAGAAGAGGTATATAGCGCCAAGAACAGTGCTAAATATTGTGGTGATTGAACTAACTAGAGCACAATGTTTGTTCTTGGAAACTGGGGAATGATATTTTCTTCAGCTTTGCACCAAGCCACTGGTATGCATCAGAGGCTGCTGTGCCCAGTCTGTGTGTCTCAGAAACTACTCTGGTCCTTCCTGCAGGAACAGCTGTTTTTCTTCTTCACTCTCTTCATTGATTGCTTACACTAGGTCCCTGATTTCCCTCATCAGCAGCTTATTTGGGGTTACTGTTTCACATGTATTTAGTATCCTAGATACCAACTAGGGCGCTTGGAGACACAAGTCATAAAGCAGATTACAGAATAAACTGCAAGCATTTCAAGATAGAAGGCCATGAAAAGTTGCAGAGATAAAAGAGGAACCTCACAGAACCTCTGTATAAACACACACACGAATGCTTAAAAATGTCTGAGAAGCTTGAATAGGCCTTCTTTAACAGCCTATCTGAGGATAGCTATGGGGCTCTGCAGAGAAGCATAAAGGTGTCACAAGTGATCTAACCAAAAGTGAGGATGATGCTCAAAGGAAGTCAGAGTCAGGCAGCATGGAAACTTTTAACTAGATTGTCCAGAAAACAGTTCCCTGGTGGTTAGTACTTAAACCTGTAGTAGAATATTGGTTGTAGATACTGTTGTGCAGTAGACTCAAGCTCTTGAGAACAGATCCCTTGAGATGAAGTAAAAGGAAGAATAAAAGTCGGCATTTCCGCAAAGCAGCTCAGGATTCTGAAACAAGCCACCACTACACCAAAAGTGTGGCAGCCACTCATCCCTATGGTCTCATCCTCATTTCATGGAGAGGCAGAAGTTGTGTGTGAGCTGTGTGCCACTGGTGTAAAAAAGAAGGCAGAGATCCCCATGAGTATCTACAGAGAGGAAGCTATCATTTGGGTGTTATTTGTAGTGTCTGAACTGACAGTTTCTTATCAAAGTTCATGAAAGTTTAACAAGATTTATTTTAACAAGATTTATTCTATTAAAGAAATACTAAGAGTTGCTACCTCTAGGGAATGTTCAAAATGCTTCTGACCTGATTTTTTCACTGAAATTGAATACCCAGCTGCTGGTGGGTTGTCAGTTGTGCTGAAAATACAGCCATTATCACATTGCTTTTTTATTCTGTGTTACTTTGAGGGTCCCTCAGCATCACAGATTGTTTCCTGCTTCATAGAATTTAGCAATTCAATTAGTATTAGTGAAGTAGGGTGACTGTGAACTAAGGAATCAATTCTCTTTTCCAAGTCTTCTTCAGAATATAACTTGCTGAGTAACAGCTAAGCTAAGTAGTATGGTGGGTTGTTCAGTTCCAGGTTGTCTTTATGAGGCTGTTTGATATAGTGAGTTCAGATGATGAAGGAAGGAACCTACAGGCTTATCTCTCTTTTTTTTTTATCTTTTCTGTATATATTAATGTCAGGTGTATGGAGACATTTTGCCATATTTTGCTGTTTTATTTTCTGTTCCTCTCTAATGGCATTAGGTGAATAATGCATGAATTCTTTTTCTCAAGAAAGTGAAGTTCTAGGTAAAAAAAGGTGTCGTTTTTCCACCTGAATTTAGCTTTTGAACTACTGCAAGAAACATCAAGAAAGTTCTGTAACTACATGGAAGACCTCATAGTTATAACTTTATTGTAGCTATTAGTCTTCCTTTTTGAAAACGCTAACACAAAGCAGGTTTTAGGGAGAATAGAGGATGAAGGGCACTTTATGAAAATATAACAATATAGCCCCAGGCAGCTTCTCTGTTCCTGAGCTGGATTCTTGTCTGCAAGAGCCCAGAGACAGGAACAATCTGAAAACATAGTTAACCCCTCAGTGCAGTTGTGGACTGGATGCACAAGGTGATGATCCTAGCTGATTTTATTTTGGTTTGATTTGGAAACGTAACAGCAACTATGAGTGAAATCTGTCTTCTGTCTTTGTGCTTCTCCTTTGTTTGCTGCCAACTTCTTGAGAGTTTGTGAAACTTTTATTTTAAAAGCTTCAAAAGACAGAATGCCTCTGGGGTTCTGTTTTGCTATTGCAAGAACATAATGTGCTGATAATCTATACAATTACAAACAAATATGAATCATGATTAAAACTGGGCAAGACTACTGCCTGGCTCCAGACTTGTAAGAACTTTCACCTTTTCCTACTCAGACTGATTAACATTGATGCAGTTTTATTGTGCTAATGTTTATATTACTAGTGTCCACATGGCTTTTCCACTATGTGTGCTGGAAGAAGAAAAAAAGCATTAGAGTTACTGATTAGGGGACGTAAAAGTTAGTAATATGCTGTCTGAATTTCACAGCAGTGAAGACTGCTAATTCATGCAAAATCTCAGATCTCCACCTAATCTGGTTTAAAGCATGAGTCCAGAACTAATTTATTTGTATTCTAGTTCTCTTGAGAATACTTCATACAGAAGCTGAATGTCAAAACTCAATCTGAAGCTAGGGAGGAAACTTCTTGAGCTAGGTAGAGTAGACTTGATTTTATTCCCTGTGATTCCCTGGTCTGTATCTGAGCTTAATTGCAGGATGATGCACAGTTGTGTGTTTACTTTAGATGTTCACCTGGCCCCCATATCTGCATGAATGCCAAGTCCTGAAGGTATGCAACTCTTTGAAATAAAGAGTATGAAACTCTTTGAAATCATCATCTGTAAGGGCTTAAAACTGGATCCTGAACTGCCAAGAGACTAGTTGCAGAATATGGGGATTAATATGCTGGTTTGGATCTAATCCACGTAGAAGGCAGACTGCTGTTCTTAGTTTTCTAGTGATTTCCTTCTTGAGGCTAAGGTGGAGAGCAGTGTCTGAATGCCATCCAAAGAAGATGAGTGTGCAAGCAGTGTGGTCCAGTACAGAGCAATGAATGGACCCTGCTTGCAAACTAGTGATAGTAAGGAGCACTTTTACACTTACTCTCTTCTGTGTTGAGCATGCTCCAGATTTTTTTCATTTTTCAGGAAATCTACAGGTAGACTGTGTAAGTTTTTTTTTTATATATCCAAGGTTACTTACTGTATGGTCCTTTGTAAGAAGGTCATGTGTGTCTTGTTATTTGAGACCTGAAGTTAGAGTTAACGTTGGAGGTGCTAAGCTGTGACTGGCTGTTGTCTACCCACTGCTTGAATTAACATTATTCCTGAAATGCAGCCTCTTTATATAAGGTTAAAGAAAGAAAAGAAGAGATTATTTTAGCAGGCATGCGAAAGTACAAGCTTGAAAATTATCCTGCACCAGCAAAAGAAAAAAAAAAAAAGGCAAGTAAACACAACAGACATTTAAACAAGATGCATACAATCACTTTGTATTGTTTGCTAGATCTAAACAAAAAAAATGTTTGGGACTTAGAGATTCTTTTATCAGCCAGTCTCTCTCAACTCTCTTGGAGCGTAAAGGGTGGGGATGGGTTAGGGTATGTACTGTTGCCACTGTGCATGGTCTGTGTCAGACTCCCAGCCATTTGCTACAGTAGAGTGGAATTCCCAGCTGCCCAGCCTTGTCCAGGCTTCCTCAGCTTCTGCCAGCCTTCCCTGCAGCCTCGGAAGGCAGTAGATTGTTGAACACCAATGTGTTTATTTTTATGTTGTTACCACATTCCCAAGATGAACCTTGGCTATGATTTCAGCTGGTCTTAACACACTGTCCAAATCCTTCATCAGGAGCAGCTGGGAAAAAAATCACTCAGGTTTCTGCACAGCACATTGCTGGTACGCCTCCTCCCTCACCCTAATCCTGTTAATTCCAGTCTTCATTTGCCACCCTCCCAGTTCTCTCTTGTTGCTGTGACTGACTGCACAAGTGGTCTTGACTTTGAAAGGTGACCTTCAAATGGGCACCTCGAGTAACCTCTACCTCAGACCGCTTTTGCTACTTAGGCACAAGGTATCTTATGAGACCTTGTTTTTGTGAGACCTTCTTTTGAACAACTTTCAATGTCACCTCATTACTTATCCT